ATACAGTTCACTGATCTTGAACTCCCTTTGTATCTCAGGCAGGCCTTGAGCTTCCAATGGTTCTCCTGCCTCAGCCTCCCAAGTGCTGGGATTACAAAGTACACCAAGTCTGGCTTAATTTTTGTTTAATTTCATCTGGGATCCATTAGTTGTGCACAAAGGGTTTATTTAATTTCCATGTGTTTATGAAGTTTTCAGTTTCTTTTTGCGTTGATTTCCAGTTTCATTGCACTGTGGTCTGATATGCATGGAATCATTTCAGTTTCTTTTCATTTACTTATTTTGTGTATGTTCTAAGCATGTTCTTCAAGATGTGTCACTTCTGTCACTGGTAGAGTAGATGGAACCCAGATTCTGGTTGGTTAATCCTAACTAGCCAGCCTTAGATTTACATGAGGGTAGTGGATAATTCCATTGAGCCTGTGTGTTTAGTTCTGTTGAGGTTCAGGCTGGTTGCTTTTGGATGTGAAGCTGAAAACCAAGTTGTTCGGCCTGTAATAGCCTCCTGCTTGCCTCCTGTAACAGCCTCTTTGTCAGCTCCAACTCCTAGACCTCCTGCCAACTGGAACTTGTAGACCTCCTGCCCACTGGAACTTGGTTCTCCCTTACCCTGACACTGGGAGCCACTAGGTGGAGCCATCTACAGTGGCTCTTGAGTTTACAGTTTTCATTTGGCCTTTTTTTTTTTTTTTTTTTTGCAGAACAACAATTTTATTGGTTCATTTGGTCTTTCTTAAAGATAGCTACTGGACAGTTGCCGGCTCCTAGGAGATGTCTCAATCTGAATAACTCAACAGCCACTACAGGCTGCTGTATCCATTGCTCTGTTCCCATGGGAGTAGTTGGCTTCTGAGGTTACCAATAGTCACAGTGTGTCTACAGATTTGAGCCACGCCTCCCATTCAGTGAGACAGGGCTCAGGAGAAAGTACCATTTGCCACCTCCTCCTTCTGTGTTGAGATCTTTCTCTTTTAACTTTCCCCATGGGCTTCAGAGCATTGCTGGGTCCTAGGGACCAACTTCCCTCCTTTTCTCTTCCTCACATTTCTAAATTCCATCATTTGGACACCAAATCTCGGAGAGGTGGTTTTTCTGTTCATCATTCTATCATCTTCCTAGAAGTCCAAGTTTTTATTTTTAATACTCAAGTACATAGTTTTTTGCTTTCTTTAACTTTCTCAGCTTGCTTGTTTGCTTTTGAAAAAACAGGGCTTGCAGGTTAGCTCAGTTGTTTAAGGCACCTGCTTGGGCAGACTCAGGCGCAGGGGACCACAATTTGATTCCTGGCTCCATATGCTGCACCAGACCTACCCTTAAGGCAGCCTGAGCCAGCCAAAAAAAACCCCAAAAACTTGAAATAACAAAGTTTATTAATAAAGCTGGCCATTGGATCCTTCCCAGGTTTCAGATCTTAAATGTCCAGCTGACATATGAATGTGCTTCCCAGATCTTTATAGATCAGAAGCACATCCAACCACTTTTTGAGTTTTTTCATTATTATATGTGCTTTATGAAAGTTAGCCTAAAATATGAATTCACATGAGAACCTCTGAGAAAGATAACCATTAAATTCAGTTTTATTTCAAAAAGTGTCAAAGTTAAAAGAATCCTATTGTTACTTTTTCGTTTTCTGATTCTGATTTTGAAAGTTCTAGACATGATTTTACTACACCACTGAATACTTCAACTCGTATCTCCTAAGAATAAAAAACAGCTCAGGATCTGTGGTCTCAGAGCAGGATTTCTAACCTAGACCAAGACTTGAGTTCCATGTTCGTATACTCAAGCCCTGTCTTTTTTGTGGTGCCCAGGCAGGCAAAATGGCTTTTAAGAAGTACATACTTAGATGAAGATACAGCTTGGTATTAGAGCACTTGTGTAGCATGAGTGAGACCCTGGATTTAATCTCCCCAAAACTCCCAAAACTGTTTTAAGAGGGGAAAAAAATAGGTATCATACTGGTAGATGGGGCTTGTTGTCACATATCTGTAGTCTGAGCAGGAGGCAGTGGCAAGAGGATTGCAAATTCAGTGCCAGCCTAGGTAATTTAACAAGGTCCTGTCTCCAAGTGGGGGAACAAGTATATACCGGACACAAAAGTAATGAAATGGTCAGTTTGTCACTAGTTCAGTACAGTGTGGTTTTTCATCCAGTTTACAATAAAATTGCATTTGATATTCTCAAAAGAAAATTCTATGTGTGGTATAGAGTTAAAAATAAAGATGTTTTCAGATATTAGCATGATAGTGGTCTCAAAAAATTATAAAATTATGTCAGTATTTTAAATTTTCCCAATTATTCCAGTAATAAACCTTTTTTTTTCAAAAAAAATTTTATTTATGTGTGTGTGTGGCCAGGTCAGCCCACCAGGGGGGCGGGGCTGGCTGGCATGTGGTACTGGGGGATTGAACCGTGGTCCCTGTGCTTTGCTAAGCCTGTTCTAAGTAGGTGCTTTAGACCACTGAGCCATCTCACCAGCCCTCCAGTAATAAACCTTTTTAAAAAAATTTCCTGACTTAGATCAGGGATTGTTCATTGCATTTACTTTAGGATGTTTGAACCCAAATAGTTCCCTTGTTTTTATTGGCATTTTTCATGAGTTGGATACTTTTTGAAAAGCGTAAGCTAGTTGTTTCTAGAACATCCTATAATTGAGTCCTTGTTCTATCATTATTTGATTTATTTTATACTTTCATTAAAAACCATTACTCAGGCAATTGTTTGTGTTGTTACTCTTATCAGAGGGCGACTGACATCAGATGTGTACATTATTGGTGATGTTGTTTAATCATTTGGTTGATATTTATTGAATTGTTTCATTATTAAGATAGCCATTTTCCTTTTTAACTAATAAGATTCTTTGAAATAGTGAGAATACCCTGCTTTTCAGAAATGTTCATTCCGTGTTTTTGTTTTTGTTTTCTCTTCCCACCCTTTTTCCCCTTCAGTGCTTTTGATGCCCATTGGTTTTTGCTATTATTTCATTGATACATAAAAACTTTTTCATTTTACAACTTTTAAGTTCCTTAGCTCATATAACTTAAAAAAGTGCTTTAGTCCATCTCTTGCTTTCTGCCTGCACCCCTTTTCCTCAGTAGATGTATTACTGGACACCAGCACCAGATTAAAATAGAAAATTTCTTTAGTTTTTAGGTACCAGGAATTGAACTCAGGACATTATGCTCACCAGGCAGGTGCTGACCCCAGAAAATTTGTTATGCTCCACAGTCATCTGGGTATGATGGCCCATTCCTGTAATCCTCGCTTTCCTTTTTAGTTTTTCTAATTTTTTCCTCATTTGTTTTAGCTAAGTACCTATCTCTTAAATATATTTTAATTTAAAATATTGCTCACTATATATCTTTTTAAATGCAGACTAACAAAAAAACTTGAAGAAAGGAGAGAAGAAAAAAAGAGAGAAGAAGAACAGGTAAAGTTCATGAACATAGCATTGTTTTACTCTTCTCTTTTTTAAGAAAAATTTTTTGCTATGTATTTATTTGGTACAGTGTTTTGCTGTGCAGTTGGGATGCCTCGTAGTGGTCCTCCTGTCTCAGTATCCCCAGTGCTAGGATTACAGGCTTTCCCACTACGCCTGGTTTCGGTGGCCGGTATGGGGTGCCTAAGGTTCCAGGGCTGGCCTGAGATGCAATTCTGGGGATTGAACCTGGGTCTTTGCACTTCCCAGGCAGGTGCTTAGACTCCTGAGCTATCACCCCAGCCCATAATTCACCCTTTAAAAAAATCTTTATTTTAATCTTAATTATTTAGTTAGTTTAGGGTTGTATGTAGCTTGAACTCACAGTGATGCTCCTGTCTCAGTCTAGCCAGCACTGGGATTTCAGGCCCCACACCACCACACCTGGTTTTGGTGGTTGGCAAGGTGTGCCCGGGGTTCCAGGGCCAGCATGGCATGTGGTACCAGGATCAAACTCGAGTCCTTGCACTTGCCAGGCAGGTGCTTAGACCGTAAAACTATCTCCTTAGCCCTATTAATTTACTTCCCTTTCATGGCAAAGAAATATGTAGATATTCTCAAGTCAGGTATGGTGTAACTGTAACTCTAGCACTTGGGGGAACTGAGGCAGGAAGATGACTGAGTTCAGGGTCAGCCTGGACTATACACATAGTCAGTTCAGTGCCAGCCTAAACTACATATGATACTGTCTCAAAAAATTTTTTTAAATATGTAGATAATCTGCTGAATCTTTCTGGTTGTGTTATTGTGCTCTAGCACATCTTTCATTTTTCTCACCATGTGTGCCTCACCTCATTGCATCATCTCTTTAGAGTGCTAATATGTATAGGTTGTCATTTCCTTCAAATCACTGATGTCAGATCACTGCCATGGTCATCCCTGGAGGGTGACATATTTGGCCTAAAAACCAAAGACCTGTAATTCTGCTTGTCTTCAGATTACATTGACTGTTGTAGTCTGAAAACAAATTTAAAAGATTTGTAGGGCTGGTGAGATGGCTCAGTGGTCTAAAGCACCTACTTAGAACAAGCTTA